ATGACTTAAGCCATGTGCTTCGGAGAAGTGTGCGCTTCAAACAATGATGCAATAACCCCTCGCTTTGCATCACTTCATTGCTTAAAGCGACAGAGGGTTGGCTTTTAATAGCACCGATTATAGCGAATGACTCCTATTATAATTTGTTATTATCAGCTAATTACCTAAAGCTTTGTCAAAATTTAATGGTTCATTTGCTTCCAGCAACCATGGCATATGTGATGGTTTAATATGTAGACTAAGAGCTCGTTTGGTTTCTTGAATTGGAGAATTAATCTCCTCATTAAATTCAGCAGAACCAAATACCTTATTTGGTTGATAGAATGAGGATTGAGGAGAACTGATCTCATTAAATTTAGCATAACGTATACATCGTTTGGTTGTAATTTTGCATCTTGTAAATAATACTCGCATAAGTTATGCAGGAATCCATTCATTATTTTATGCGGAGTAGAATGTGAAATAAGAATACGTGTATTAGAAATGCAGAGATTAGACTATTTAAAGACAAAAATGCCCTTAAAGTAAGTAGTTCTTGTATAACACTAATCCTTTCATTATTAATCACCGCAAAACACTTCTTATATTATTAATCATCTCATAACAATTCCTTTGTTACTGGCCACCGCATAAACAATCCCTACATTACTAATTCCTGCGGTGCTACCCTGCATATTCAAGCAAGCTATTGATGCCTCTTGATCTCTGATTAAGCTCCTAAACAAGGAAATCCATGATATTGGAACTTAATTTGCAGGTAATTTCCTATTTTCTTTTAGACCTGAAGTTACAGATGACTTGACAAATTTTGAGAATCCATCAGCTTGCTGGTCGGATGATCTTAGAGGTGGAAAGCCTGTTCGACTATCTGGGATATTTGATAAACTTACTTACCAAGTGCGGAAGGCATTTTTCTTTCAATCAATGAAATATTCCTTAAGTACAGCACATTGTGATATTAAGTCAAAGGATGGACGTGTAGCAAAGATTCATTTTCTGATTGAAAGCACTGGGAAAGATGTACCTATCATACATCCAGATAACTTTGGGTATGTGCGTGTAGATAAAAGTTCGCCAGTTGCCTTGCAAGAGCAGAAAGAAATCTTTCTGCTCCCAACTGTTCACTTCTCCAACTTCTTAGATATGGAGATTCATGTTAGACTCAGTGATACAGGTAATAGAAAATTAAATCTGGTTCAAGTGTTAGTTGATATATTGTATTACTGACTTTTGCTTTAGTACAGGTCTGCCATCTACTAATGGTGTTGACTGCATATGCAATGAGGCAACTATTCCCTCTGGGTCGTTTGTCAACTTATATGCAAATCCTGCTGCTATTTATTTTATTGTTACCTTAACTTCCTTTGGTACAAGCTGCAAACCAATAAATAGTAGTGACAGTGCGAAATGGCTGCAGAAGCGCAAAACTAAAGTTCAGTTTTTGGATATCGAATTAGATTTTGGCAATGGCAAGTATTTTGCATTGCTAAGATTATATCGTGGACAGAGAGGGATATTGGAGGTACTTATCCTGCTTAGCTGCTTATTACCTTACAGCAAGGTGTTAAATTTGTCTGTGTTTGGTGCAGGCTGCTGTCTTTACTTCTTACACCTTGGAGAATAATACTGAATTTTCTTTGTTCTATTTTCCTGCAAATCACAAGTTTGTTTCTAGGTAATCTCTCGTCCAAGATGAGTTGTAATTTGTTCATTTGGCTCAGTTTTGTCCTTTGCTGAGTGGTACTATTATATCCAGGCATGAGGTGGAAAATATTGGTTCTGCGGTGCCTCCAGAATTAGGATCTTATCTTCCTCCCGGATCAACAAAATCATGGTTCAGCAAGTAAATTTTTTCTACTTAATTCGCTAGTTCTAGTTTAGTTGAATCCATTGTGTCGTCTCTCCTTGTTCCATCTGTCAGCGGTTATGAAACTGTAGGCATTATGCTTTTCATCCTGCATAATTCTTGCTTATCCTTGCTAGATGCCACAAGGTGCACATTACACTCTTGGCTGAAAGAGCCTCTAAAGCACCCTTGGACTTGGACGCTTTATCAGGCCTTACAGAGGTGAACCTTGAAGTGGAAGGAGAATTTGGTTCCAAAACTGTTACAAAGTTGGGAGTCTCTTTGAAACCATCTGTTAGCAAAGTAGTGCCCCTGCAGGTTGTATCAATGTATCCCAGATATGTCATACTAAATGAGTCAGATGAAGTCATCACTGTTCGTCAATGTTTTTTGGAGGTCTGTCTTTGTTTTTGATTTTAGATGTTAGCTTTCATTTGCTGTTAAACTGATAAGAGTTGAGGATGAAATCATTTTTGTCTTAGGAGGATGGGACTGACACAACTGTTACACTCAACAGTAAGCAGAGAGCAGCATTAACTTTGAGGAGTGGAAATGGGATGACAACAATTAAAAGACGCACCCTCTTTGAGAATTTTCTCAAAAAGCATGCAAAATCCCAAAATGATTCGTCTTTTTTTGTCCAATTTCAACCCAATAAGGCCAGTTTCTCCTGGTCTGGGCCAGTTTGTATTGCTTCACTTGGACGCTTTTTTCTTAAATTCAAGAAGTCGACCGAGTATTCTGCTCAACAATCAGATCCTGCAACTCAGCATAATTCAGCCATGTGTGAATTTGCCACTGTTCATGTGGTTGAAGATGGTCCTACAATTGTTTTACGATTCTGTTGGCCAGCAAATATGGACCTGCCTTACCGGATTGAAAACCGCTTGGAAAATACTTCTATTACATATTATCAGAAGGAGGTTTTGTATCTCTTTTCATTGTTTTCGATGTTTTGACTTGCAAGTTTCAACATATTGTAATCATGCAATTAACTCATATCATGTACCTTTGTCGTGGAGAACCCTCAGGGTTTAACAGAGCCGGAGGTTTTGGCATCTGGAAGTAGTGTTGGCTATGTCTGGGATGACCTGACACATGCTCATAAGCTTGTTGTCCAGATTGACGGTAGCTGTTGACCTCTTAAAATCTTCACTAGAACAGATACTATAGAAGTTTAACTGCATATATTGATGATGCACCCTCGTTATTTTATTAAGATTAGCCTGTTGTATTTTTATATGTTGATGTTGAATAGCATGAACCATCTCATCGAAAAGTTTTAGCTGTTGGATGGAAATTCTTTTTATTTGCTTTTGAATTATTTGATTAGTCTAGTTATAAAGCAGTGTCTTCACAGAATATAGGTTAAAAGTTGAATTACTAAAAGATATATAATTCTGTGAAAGGGTATGATAATTTATCAATACCAATTAACTACTCCCTCCATCACAGTTCATTTGAGGGTGTTTTAATTGGGCACATAATTTAAGAAAGAAAGATAAACTTTTGAAACTTGTGATCTAAAACATGCCATAGACGTGTATGTGGCTATAAGTCATCTTATTAAGGGTAAAATGAGAAGTTTAAAGTTAAATTGTTTCTAAATATAGAAAGTGTCATTCTTTTGGGGCAAACTAAAAAGGAAAGAGAGTCGCATAAATTGGGACAGAGGGAGTACGTCTCAGTTGCATATTAGTTAGGGCGACCTATGTATAAATCCTCCATGTGCATTCCACTCAATTCTGGCTCATTTAATTGCTATGCTTAATAATGTCTTGAAGACAGATTAGGGGTTTTCTATAACTAGAGGTTCTTTAGTGCTCACACTTAACCCTACACTGATGTTCAAGTCTCTAACTAGATCAAAATGACTCTTGATGCAACTGTAGCAACAACAGCTAAGGCTTAATTCTCATTAGTTGGTATCTTCTATATGGGCCATATGCTTGCATTTAAAATTATGACTAGGAAAATGAAGGATCAGCTGTCCTCTCTGTTTTTTATTTGAGGTACTGTTTCTACCTTTTGCTATGTGAAGTACTTGTCTTGTTCACTTGTATATGTAATTTTTTTTCAAATTAGTATGACTTTATTATCTATTTATTAAAAAAGTATGACTTTATTATCTCATTTTGGTAATTTTTATCTTGCAGCTGTACATCTACTACGTGAAATAAACTTGGATAAAGTACGTGAATGGAAACCATTTTACAGGATTAAGCAACAGAGAGGTCTAGGTTTTCACTTACCTCTGGAAAAGAAGACAGAAGATTCAAAGAAAAATAGATATGGGCAGTTAACTGGCATGGAGATCATTAAGTTGGGTTACGAAGTATATGCAGAGGGCTTGACTAGGGTTCTGAGAATTTGTGAGTTTTCTGATAGACGCAGAGGGGACACTTCATTCCGTTCCTGCACAAAGATGCAGCTAAGAATCTCCTCTTTTGCAATTCAATTACTGGAACGTGCAAAGCAAGTAAGTTTGTGTTTCTATGTAAATTTTTGCTATCTCTGTGTCCTTAACCATCTTTTATCTGGCTGTTGTTGATCCTTTCAAATTAACAGTTTCAACGTGCTTGAGTGAATTGTTTTTTCCCCTGGAAATAAACAAGCCTTTTTAAATGTATCTCTTACCTAGTTAGCTAATCTCTAATTAGTTGTACAGTGAAATAGTATGTTCCTTTCTACTAGAAATTTTCCTTGAGAATAATTCATCTGCATAGCCATCCAGCCTGACTTTCTTGTTAAGGGATTTTGCAGTTTGAGAAAATGGAATTTTATATAGTAATACCACAGTCTAGTGGTTATTCATCTTCTGTTTCTAGAGATCAGTCTTATTCACTCTGTTCTGTGATGAAATGTAATAGTGTATCATGACTGGAACACTTGGGTCGTCATCTTAATTTTTCTTTGGCTAATAAGAATGGACTTCAGCTTATAGTTTGCAAGAAAGTCTATGATGTCTGTGGAAATATTCATGTTTTGTATTATGACAGGTTTAGAATTTAGGGAAATATGAAGGGGAATCACAGACTAATTTTATCTTCAGTACAAAGGTGTGAAAAATAGAAAATTGGTCTGTGTCAACCATTTATGGAGTAATCTAGGAGAGTCAGTAATAGGATAAGCTGTGGGTTATCTTGGAAGGTCGAGGTAGTAAATTCCGTGTGGCTCATATATGGTACATCCAAGATTGAGCAATTAAATGTTTGGGATATACAGCTATTGATATTGATTGAAGGAACAACCTAGAATATGTAACACTAAACTGCACTAAAAGCTAGATGTTTATTAAATCTTTTTGCTTGGAGTAACCATTTTTATATAAATAGCTCATTAGATCTATTAGATTTTGTAAGCTCCTTGAGCAGATAGGAGGTTTTTGCTTCTCAGGAGAATTGACTTTCTTGTAATCAATTACATCCTCTGGATGATAGATTTAATGAAAGCTTACCTTACTTGATCCAAAAAAAAAAAAAATGTAACACTAAACTAAAGTCAAAGATGAAAGTCGCTTGACCTGCTCTTGTTCCCATGGTTTGGAAAGTAACTAATAGTGGAGGAAAGAGATTTATTAGATATACAACCAGAAGCTCCTGAGTCAATGACCTAAGATCCAAGAGTGAAGGACCGAGAGATTTAAGCAACAAACCTTTATAAGTTAGGACGATAGAAGTTACTTCTGGAGATGACTGCTTCAGTGCTATACGCTAGAGGAACTTGGCCCCATTTGTTTCCACTTTATGGAGTTTTGAATCTGGATCATACAGATCTCTTGTTTTTTCTTTCACAACCACTTAATATTAGTTCTTAATAACTCTCAATTATTCAGATCTAGTACAGAGTCTTAAAATCATCAAGATGTTCGGTTAAAGATTTTGTGAATGTAATCTTTTACTACTACTCTATTATTACCATCACCGTCCGCTACCCCCATGCAACCACCACAGCCAACCACCTATAAAACCTACCACCACTACAAATCACCTCTACCATCAGCCTCCACCTCACAACCACCATCTCAGACCGTCTTCACCACCAGTCATCACTACCAACCACCACTACCACTAGCCTCCACCACACAACCATCATTGTTGACCAGCACCATCCAACCAATTCCATCGCTAGCCATCACCATCAGTCACCATCGCACATCCATCACCTCTGGCCATCAACACACAACCACCATTATCTGCTTCCTCCGCCAACTGCTGGCTTTTAGAATGTGGTTCATTAAAGAAACAATTTATGCAACACCATGTAAAATTAATATTATCTCTAATATTTTGTGGATATAATATTTATTAGTTATTTATTTGAATTCTATATTTGTTAGTTTTAATTAAAGATAAATTACACACATTTAGATGTTGAGAAAACCAAGTCTTAATTATTCAGTATTAAAATCTAGATACAATATCTTTGACGATAAATCCAATAACATCCAGAAGATGAAAATGAGGTGTCTAGTCCTTTTCTATTTTTGGTGTAATGGAAAGTATTTAGAAGACCATGAGTCTATTGTTGATGTCTTAGAATCCTTTTGACAAGACAATGGATTTGGAGTTTCTTCCAGTATTTCACACGGTAAATATGGGTGACTACACAGTTTTTGTGTACTCTACTTATTAATATACAAATGTGTTCCTTCTCAAAAAATAAAAGTCTGTGTCAATGTCTACAAAGTCAGAAAATAGAACCTCTCGGAAAATTTAAAAGTTGCATTTTAAGGCAAGAAGGTTTTCTTCTTTTCGATAAGTAAAGCAAGAAGACTGTTAATGGATCATGAGGATAGTGCTTGCCCCTTTCTATGGAACTTATGTCTTCTGATGGCGCAAACTTTAGGTTATGTCCTGCTGATTATAGGTATTCCCTGATGTTCCTTTGTGCATGAGAATGTGGACTATGATTCCAGTTTTAAGATCGAGTAAGGAGGAATAAAGAGAGGAATTTGGCATCAGAATTCACCATATAGCTTGTGTATAATTTGAGCTCTACTAACAAACTCAGCTTGGCTTCCATGTGTCATTTTACTTGTGATCTGATTAATTGTGCTCAATTGCTTAAAAAGATAGCTCATTTACCTGAAGTTCATATACGTATTTCGACCTACTGAAGGATTTAGGTGACAAGGATAAGGGCAATGCATTGATCTACAATCCAATCATTATGGCAAGACTAAATAGGATAGACTTTGACGCCATGTTTGCTGAAAGGCACAAGTTCAACCATCTCAGGGTACAGGTAATCTTCTTTTCTGGTGCTTTGTATTCGTTTCTGTGGTGGATCTCCTTCCTAATGACATGGTTGATGGTATTCTTAACCTCAAGATGCTAATGTCTATGTAATCACGATGCAGTCACTGAGTGTGGAGCCTAAGTGGGTAGGAGCTCCTTTTGCATCAATGCTTCGGAGGCACCAAATAGAAAATTGTGACGCAAATGATCGAGTCCTCCGCATTGGACTTGTTCTAGCTTCATCAAGTTCTAGTGTCAAACAAGTCAAACACTTATCAATTGTTCTTCAGGTAATTCTGTACGTCACATAAATACCGCATGACTCTTCTTTGTAACTATATCATAGTCTTGTACAAGTTCTGACTGTTTATTTGATTTATGTGTAACTGCAAATTGCATTTTGGATAGGAGTTAGTTATGTTCTTGCCTATATTGCACCATCAGCTTTCCATCAATGAGTTATTTAGTTACTCAGATCTCCTCTCTTGTTTAACAGAACCAAATAGATCTCATCTAGTTTGAAAAATATCTAGGGTCTCTTGTCCTAAAGTTTCAAATTTGGTGTTCTAATTCTGATTTAATTGGTCAAATTCCCTTCATTAAACTTGAATATTGAACTAAAAAAATGAAGAAAGAAGTTCGGTTTCAATTTTCCTTTTCAGGATGAGGTTTGATTGTTTCCTTATGTCATCTTTATCTTGCTTTCCAAAATTATTCCAAGTGTTGACGAACTTCTTCCTTTTTTAGGCGGATGAGATAAGATGGGTTGAAAGAGAAAGGGGGGGGGGTGGGGGTAGGAGGAGGAAGGAAGGTTGTGGAGGAAGTTCCCATTGAGATGAAATGGGTCTCTATGATGCCAATTTTAAACTATAGAGAGGAGCTCCATTTAGTTTGGCTGTGTTTTTATATGTAAATGTAGATTTTTATTATAAATGGCAGTCGAGAATTACAGAGCTACCCGATACTTGTGTTGGTGAGAGGTAGCAGGTACTCAATAAAATTAGTTGAGGTGCGAGCAAGCTGGCCCAGACACCATTCTCATAAACAAAAAGAAAAGAAAAGGATTACAAGCTGGGTTCTAAGAGCCTTAAAAGGAAAAGGTACCACGAGACCAAAGATAGCAAATGCATTGCAGATAAACACCAACCAAAAGATGGCCTTATTTTTTCCTGAATTTTTAAATGAAGGACGAAATCAATCCAAAAGCATTGTAAGCCCGGGCATGCTGGTCCTGCTCATTTGCCCTCCATCTCCTGTTGGATCATTCACAAGTGGCAGTTGTAAATAGATGGCTTTTTTCATTAGACCATTGGCCTTTTTCCACTATGTCCCTAAGTGAAAATGACACATTTTGTACGAAAGGTCATAATTTATCTTCTCTCTTTTTTTGTTTAAAGGGCAAGAACTAATGGGAAAATTGGTCAATTGTGTTGATTTATATAGTTCTCAGATGGGTTGTATGAGGGTTCCCAAAAGGATTTAGAAAGGCCTTATAATCTACTCACCGCTTTAGAGTTTTTGAGTTGGGTGCTAATATTCTTACGTATGGTATTAGAGCAAGTCTATTATCACGCTCATAAGTCCTTATTAAAATGCTCATGTGAATGCTACAATGGGGTTATTTGGGTGGAAGGGTATTGAGTTCCTCATACCGAAGAATAATAGTGCATGCTATGAATTTTTCAATACGTTTGGCGGATTAATCAACTGCATATAGGTAAAGATGCCAATCCCTGAATTATCCTTTGTAATAGATGAGGAGTGTGTTAGAAAACTGTAACAAAACTAGGAACATCTGAAGTAAAGTTGTTTTGTAGTACTTTTTATGTGTATTACCTTTTTAACATTATCTGTTAAATCATTTATCATGCTAACAGATAACTTTGGCAGGATGTTCCATTCTTCAAAGGCCTTCCCCATAATTTTCTACTATTAGTCAGGAAACTGGTTTGTCACTTAGTTATGCTTTTGTTTTGGCAGGGACACGTTCCAAGATCAATAGGAAATTGACGCGTGACTCGCTCGTCGTCATATTTTTGTTATACTTACATATCCTGTTTGTTCCATCTTTATACCTCTGAATTTTCTTTGCAGCCCCTTGATTTCAACCTCGATGAGGAGACATTAATGAGAATTGTTCCTTTCTGGAGAACGTCCCTCAGCGATACAAATACTCCAAGTCAAAAGTATTACATTGATCATTTTGAGATCCATCCTGTTAAGGTATCTACAGCACTTTGGTTTCACTATGCCCTCCTCCCCCAGGGAAGTTCTTTTTACACTGAGGAGGAAATGTAAGTCACAGAATTAACTCACTTTTTCTTTCCTATCAATGTTGCTGAAGGTTGTGGCAAGCTTTCTTCCTGGGGAATCTTATGCCAGCTATAGCTCCACGCAGGAGACGCTAAGATCTTTACTTCACAGTGTTATAAAGGTGTGTTACATAGTACTAACTCTGTCTCATTTACGTGACACCATTCAGTCGGGATTGAGTTTAATATGTTCATTTGGCTTGTACAGTACATTACTAGTTAATTTCAGATAGAACACATCGCGTGAAAGTTTAAAATTTGATTGGTTAAATAAAGTTGAATTCATGAAACTTCTTGAAAGTTGTAATCATATTACTACTAGGAGGATGTCGAATTCTGCCAGGATAGAAAGAGTATACTGTAAATTGTGGATGGAATATTCAATTACTGTACAGTTGTTCACTTACTATTTAAGTGAACGTCTGTTCTTGATTTACCTGTGGTGTAACATTCTTTCTCCTATATCTGCATTTTTAGATACCTCCCATAAAAAATATGATAGTAGAGCTCAATGGCATCCTTGTAACTCATGCATTTGTCACTTTCCAGGAGTTGTCAATTAAATGTGCCCAACATTATTCTTGGTAAGCCTGTGTTATTACTAGTATGGCCTATGCTCTCAAAAATTATTGTTGAATAGCAGCTGAAAATTGACATTATCTCTAGGTACGCAATGAGAGCAATCTACATTGCAAAGGGAAGTCCCTTGCTGCCACCAGCTTTTGCTTCTATTTTTGACGACTTAGCTTCATCATCTCTTGATGTTTTCTTTGATCCTTCTAGTGGGCTTCTTAATCTTCCTGGACTCACCGTTGGTATGCCCTTGGAAACTCCTAAATCCGTTGCTTACTGCTTGGTGCATTACTTTAGATGAGTATTGCTGAGTTACACAACCTATGTTTAATGGACAAGCATGGTGTGTAGCTAATCTCTTTTGATGCATTGGTGCTCTTATGGGGTCTTTTGTGGCAGTTCTTTCAAATTTGCCTGTGCATTGAAGTACCAGGAAGCAAATACTTCATGTGGAAATTAAGAATATTTTGCGCTTTAATTAGACTATTTGAATATTACAATCTTCTTATTTTGGGGAACATGCCTTAGCAAGATTTGCTTCTTAGCAAAAGATCTTCTCGTGTTGGGTGTGGTTTCTGTACAATATAGATCTTATCAAAAATTGAAGTTTGTTTAGCAAAAGTACCTTCTGAGTTGCAAATTAGGCAGGCAAATGAAAGTAGCTTGTCTATCAAGGCAAAGTCAGGGACTACTAACTCTGCCCATTTTCTTAAGTGCCTATGACAGAGAAAGTTCTTTCAATTTGAAATGCTTAATGAGATTATTTGTAACTTAATCCAACCTGATTACTAGAACAAATATAAGTCAAGCAGAGTTTCCAAACCATAAAACTATTTGCAAATTTGAATTTTAGGTGCGGATAGATTAAATAGGATGTTAGGACTTTTACACAGTACTTTATACCCAATTTTCATGAAAGTGATGATATCGGCTGCTTTTCCGGTCCAATTTTGCTTTATATGAAGAATTAGCTTGACAATCTTTGCTGCAGGTCTCTTCTGTTAGAATTTACTGGCAAGTATGACGTTTTCCTTTTATTTGTGTATGTTGCCTTATTGAAGTCTTTGCTTGCGTTTTGGATGATAGGTACTTTCAAACTCATTAGTAAGTGTATTGATGGTAAAGGGTTTTCTGGAACAAAAAGATACTTCGGTGATCTAGGGAAAACTGTAAGTTCTATAGTTAATTTTTTGTCATGGTTGCTTTGCAATTGTCAATGGTGCCGCATAAGCTGTTTCCTATGCAGTTAAAATCAGCAGGATCAAATATCCTTTTTGCTGCTGTCACTGAAATATCAGACTCGGTTCTGAAAGGAGCAGAAGCTAGCGGATTAAACGGAATGGTAAGAACATCTGATCTAATAGCATGCCAAATATTGTAACTACGAATCCAAGCTTGAAACTTTCAATTAAACCTTGATTTAGTTATGAGTTTGGCACTATCTCAGGTTGTAGTTTGGCTCTGTCATCCAAATTTAATTTCATGCGTTCTTTCCAGGTGTATGGTTTTCATCAAGGAATACTTAAATTGGCAATGGAACCTACGGTATTGGGGAGTGCTTTCATGGAAGGTGGCCCTAATCGAAAAATTAGGCTTGATCGAAGTCCTGGGGTTGATGAGGTATGATACATTTGTGGTGATGAGTTCTTATTTCATCTCAATTTTTTCCTGTAGAGATAACAGCTGCTGATGGTTGCAAACTTATGTTGTTTGAGTGGGATAAATCAATGCTCCATTTTATGTGCCGTCAGAGAAACATTCAGACATGTTTGGTCAAGGCTCAGTGGAGGTGGTCGTGTTGATTGACATAACTTGCATGGTTTTGGACACTCATGTCTAGATGGCCACTTCCCCTGGATCTTCAGGACTCATCTATCTTGTAAAAGGGGAATGGTTGAATTTTATTTTGGAAAAAGTCTGCACGACATTGAATAACAACACTCTAAACTGCATAACACATGTATATTGGTGAACCAAATTGTTGTTGGAGTAAAAATTGTCAGCTATATACTACTCCATGACCTTTTCCTGAGCCGATGGTCGATTGGAAACAGCCTCTCTGCCCTTTCGGGTAGGGGTAAGGCCTGTGTACGTATTACCCTCCCCAGACCCCACCTTGTGGGACTATACTGGGTAGTTGTTGTTGTTGTTGTTATATACTACTACATGACTTGAACTTCAGGTGCAACTGTTTAGTTAAATTTCCTAGCAAATTATGGAATTTCTAGTCATTTCATCAAATTATGCGGAGTATAGGACTCGTTATTTCTATGGGCCTAAAAATTGTAGTATGGCCTACAGGAGTCCTAAGTCTTCTTTTTGGATGAAATAATCTGGCTAGATGGCCTCTGAAGAGCTTGGAAATTTAAAAAATAGCTGTTGAGGAAACATTTAAATTCTGACTGATAATCTGTTGGCAAGCTAACTGAATGAATATCTATCGCTAGTTTTGTTACATTATCCAATGTTTTGCTCTTGTTTCCAGTATGACAGTTTAGATGGTGCCATCTTTCCTGTTGTTTTGGGGGGTTATAAAAAACTCCTAGTGCTGAATATTTCAATGCACTGAAGTTAGTGTCATTTCATATATAGTGTGTGTTTGTGATAGGTTCTACCGTTCTAGTTGTTCTAGCAGACAGATTAAATCATCATATAAGTGACTCTTTCGGTTGTAATGCAGCTTTACATTGAAGGGTATCTGCAAGCCATGTTAGATACATTGTATAAGCAAGAATACCTGACAGTCAGAGTCATTGACAACCAGGTAATCGAACTAAATTCTCAGTGTGTGTGTATGTTGTTTGCCCTTTTCTTAAAATATGTCAAAATTGAAAAAATGTAGCTCTGTTCTTTCTTCTTTTTTCTTAATTAGTTATAAATATGTCACCGCTGAAAAGTTCTAGCACTGTAGTCACCTTCATCATGACACTGTAAACTTTTCTGTCAGAACTTTAGTAAAATTAGGAATACATGAGGTCATTGACAGCTTGCTTAGCTCTAATTTTTTCGTCGTAGCAAATTAAGTGCACATGTAGTGATGCCAATCTCAAAGTGTAACATGAATCGCAAATGACTTTTATGTTCTTTATATTCTGAAGGTTATCCTCAAGAACCTACCACCAAGCAGTTCTCTTATAGAGGAGATTGTGGAACGCGTGAAGGGATTTCTTGTGAGCAAAGCGTTGTTGAAAGGAGATCCTTCAATAGCTTCTCGCTCCTTGCGTCACATTAGAGGGGAACGTGTGAGTACTAGTATCTCAGTTGCATCTTGAATGTTTATTATGTAGTATGACATTTTTTTTTTTTTTTTTGAAATGGGTATGCATATTAAAACATCAGCACAAAGGAAATGCTGGAATCAATAATTACAGATAACAAAATGCAAAAATATCACCTGCACATCTCACAGGGATCTATCTATGACACCTATGATAGATTCTGCTTCATCTACATATTTTTCTTTACATTGTCATCCCATGCTTCATTACTGAGTTATTCCAATTTACCGGCACTCTTTTGCATAAAGCACTATCTATTTGGTAAATTGAGGAATTTCGCGATCTCTACTATGTTTTCTCGTCTTGAAGGTATCTATTTACATATTTCCGGAGAAGGTTGATTTGTTCTTTTATTCTGTTCGTTTGACACTGCTATTCATGTTTATTGCTTTAGGAATGGAAACTAGTACCAACAGTGCTGACCTTGATTGAACACCTTTTTGTGAGTTTTGCAATTGGGGTGTTACGGAAGCAAGCTGGTAAAGTAGTTGGGAAAGTTAATTGGATGCAGAAAGTTGAAGCTGATGATCAGAAAGCCATTGTGCCCACATCTGGGGGTGGTTACCAAAAGCTGAACTTTGTCTGGAAATGGGGAATCGGAAAGTTTGTTTTCTCAGGGATGCTAGCATATGTGGATGGACGATTATGTCGCTATATTCCTAATCCTATAGCCAGAAGGATTGTTAGTGGCTTCCTGTTAAGTTTTCTGGAGAGAAACGACGAATAATTATCGTTTTCTTCAGCTTTCTCATTAACTATAAATGGCAAGTGCACTTTATTCAGAGGCTTCCTTATCAAAGGATAAAGATCACCCCCTCCCCTTTCAATTATAGGATGCTATTTGATTGGCTATGGAATTTAAGAAATATTGTCAATACATACCTTAATCATATATAATCTATCTATCTATATTATTATAAAACTTCGAATATTTTATGTTGGATTTGTATAATTTAACGTTTGTATAATTTAAGGATATAATTGTAAATTATCCAAGGCTGAAATTCTTTTCCAGTCTAAACTAAAATTGTAATATGAAAACCTCACCATAATACAACTTTGCGTTGAATGCTTATACCAATCAGATATCCTACTTACTACTTACTGTTGAAGTTTAAAACCGTATCAATTCCACTTGAATACGAATACTTGGAATTACCACTTACAATCATTATAAAGAAGGTTTTACCGTGCCTTTCTGCACTAGATATTCTCATTAATGTATAGCTGCATGGACCTCTTAACCGAATATTTTCAAACGGATAGGTAATTTATATAATAACTTCATGGCGTTCATGTACATTATCATGTATTTACATTTTGTAGTTGGTTAGAAGCATGTCAAAGCTTCTCTTTTTTATTTCTTTTCTTTTTATTTGTAAAACAAAGATAATTTTCCCAACATAATTTGGTTTTTCTTTCTTTTTATTCCCTTATTTCTTAATGCTTAAATCTTCTAGTCTTATGTGGTGTGGAGTTAGATATGGAAAAAGATAATATTTGTTTATAAAATATTCCTCATGTCTACCAAGGAATAAAGAACGATTAAAATATTACTAAAACGTTGATCGAGTGTTATGGCCTTAAATATTTGTATAATGTAAGGATGTAATTTTAAATTATCCAAGACCGAAATTCTTTTCCAATCTAGACTGCACATACACCGCCCATATAAGATATTGCGTATAATTCTTGGGCTATGCTTGATATTTGGTTCTCCAGTTTGTATGGGTATTGTTCTGTATTATTCTTCTATATTTATCTATTTACATCTATATCTATCTATATATTATTATTGTTGGGTTTTAAGAATTTAATATGGCTTAAAAGAGGGTGAATGGGAAATGGAGGAAAATGAAAATTTCAAGTGAAATTTTAAGTTTCCCCCCTTGATGAAGGAACATTGTCCAATATTGGAAGAGGAAGAGGTTTTTATAGGTATATAAGCAATTACTCTTCTTCTAGCTCTTAAAGAGTTGAGAAGAAGGCAAGCCTCGCGCCATCGTCGCTCGGCTCGGCTTCGGTCAAATGGTTGATCGATTAATTTGTTGGACCAAATTTATTTGTTAATAGTAAAATATTAACAGAAATGTTATTAAATATTTATTTTAATAACAGAATATTAATATTAAATCCAATCAGTTTCCGTTTTCAGTTGTGTAGCTGAAAATTAAGCTACCCTATTTAATTTTCCCTCTTTATTGTTGAGTAAATAGCCATTTATGTTATGGCATTTATGTTGTGGCCGTTTTGCATAAACAACCATTCTGAAGAGTTGCACCTCTTCAGATTTCAGCCCAACATTGGCTATAAATACAAGTCCATTCTCCTCAGAATTTCCATATGAATTTTTCTGAGTTCTTCTCCTTTCTTCTGCATATTTTAACTTCAAAGAAAGCTACAGTAAGTGTGATTTGCTACCGAACTTTGTGTTCGCTGAAACACTAGGGTTTGAAGTACCACTACACCAGTGTGTAATTCGTTCTATCCCGGGAGGAAATAATCCATAACCTTGGGTACTAGGAGGGGATTAAATTCCTTAAGGAAACACTGTGAATTCAGTGAGATCGAATTATTTTTTTTATTTTATATTTCGTTTACATTTTTGTTTATGTTATTTTATTTTCTCCAGAATTATTTTACAAATACAGATTACTAACAATTATAAAAGCACAAATGTTAGGAAGCTAAATGTTGAGAGACAAAAATATCACCGATAAATTGATCGGCTTTTCGCCTTTTAAAGTTAATATTTCCGTTTTGTAGCAATTTAATATAATTCTGGGTTAGGACTAAGTAACCTTTTATCTGTTGGATCCAAGCTATATTTATTACTCAGTTTATAATTTAAACATAAGTTGTTGTACTATGTTCCTAACTCCATGTGGAGCTCTAAGATTACAAATATAGGCAATTTCTCTGGCAATACTATCCAGGTTCTGCTCTTTTGTTTAAAGGTTCGTTGGTTTCTTTCAATGCATATCACATGCACACGTTTTGAAATTGGTCTTTTTATATTCTATAGAGGAATATTACTTCTAAACTATTATGAGCAAATTATGTTCACTTTATTCTTTCTATAATATTATTTGTAACAACTCTTTTCTATATCAAATGGACAAAAAAGATGCCTAACACTAGAGTGGTGATGCTAAATATTAGGAAGCAAAATTAGTTATTTAGGATGAAACACTTATGGGGAATCTTATATGAAATTCAACTTTTACCATATAAAATGAATGATATCCTCTTAAATTTATCCGAAAATAATTGCATGTATGCTTGTGTACTGCAATAATAATAAATAAAACACATAGTCAAATAAATTGATCGCGTGTTGGACTATATTTGATGCAACACATTTTATTACATTTACTACTATACGTCGCATTTTCAAAAGGAATATCAATATCGACAATAAGAGTTCTAATCATAACAAGCAACCAAAGTATCATAAGGGAACAAACACAAAATATAGTATATAAAGAAGTATAAGGTAAGATATTGTTATATTTTTTTATTTCTATATTATTAATACATATATCATTTGCCGGTTCAGACAATGATGTCAAATTATTTTAAATTCAAGTATAATGTAAGTATAATAACATTTGAATATAGATAATATTTTAGGTAAATTTAATTTTTGGTTCCTTAATATCTATAAATAATTAATTGAGAATTTTCGTAAAAATATGAATGCCAAAATTTTAGCGATCGAAAATCAACGTGTAATTGTTATCGTGCAATGCACGTTCATAGAAACTAGTACTATATTAAAAGTGGGAAGCCCAAAACCAAAAAATTACATTACAAAAATACCCTCCTAAATATTTTTAAAAAAAAAAACAACTAAAAACTAAAGCTATAAAAAAACCCACAAAATAATGCTTCATACCCGTTCAGTAATAGTCACGCCCATTCCATTTACAAAGCCAAACAGAAACAAATCACCACTTCCCAAAGCTAAAGAAACAAATTGTCACTCCTCATTCTTGATAGATTTCTACAAAATATCCATAAAATCATTTACTATTTTGATAACACTAATATACCGGTAAAAATAACACATAAATTATCATATGCTTTAAGATTCCTACATATTATTGAAGTTCCAAATCTATCTCTAGCTGCAAAGTTGCCTCATTATTTTAGAAATGCATGCACTAAATATTTTTCTTCCACTGGTAGATGAACTTATTTCTTTTGTTTTTTTATTTCTTGTCGTGGACTTTTTGTTTCACCTTCAATGTATGTTATGTCTTATTAATTTATAGGATTGTCTTGGTATTGTTTGTGGTTGACAACAAATGCAGGAGCACAATTTTATTTTTTCATTTCCATAATTTTGTATTATATTTTATTATTCACTACTTTTCATGTGTAATAACTTAAAAAAACTTAGTATACGCTGAAGCACGCGTTCGTTTTTTTCCTTGCATATGTTGGCTTAGCTTAACATCCATATATTACTATCATAAAAGTCAGTTTTTGGTTTAGTTTTTTCCTTTATCTATTTTGGAGATTAAAAAAGAGAGGAGTATGATCTCTGTGTTGTTTTTTCATTCCTTTGTTCACGTGAAGGAAAACACTTGCCATTTTAAACGTGAAAACAAAATAATGGAAAGAAATATAATGTTATGATTGATAGATAGCATTCATAAATACGTTTTGTGAAATAAAAATATAAATACAATAGAACTAAAAAATTGTAACGACCCGGCCGGTCGTTTCATGAGTTACCGCTCCGTTTCCCCAATTTCTGCTTCTTATTGCTTTGTTTATCGGTTCTACGTGTGATTGGGTTGAGTGGCTCAGGTTTGGAAAGGTTTTAATAAGGTTTGAGACGCTTAGTCTCTTTTGAGGAAGCTTAAATTGGAAAGGTCAACCGAATGTTGACTTATGTGTTAGAGGGCTCAGATGTGAGATCCGATGGTTCGGATAGCTTCGGGAGGTGATTTAGGACTTAGGAGCGTGATCGGAATGTGTTTTGGAGGTCCGTAGTAGATTTAGGCTTGAATTGACGAAAGTGGAATTTTGGCGTTTTCCGCTTGATAAGTGAGATTTTGATATAGGGGTCGGAATGGAATTCCGGGAGTTGCAGTAGGACCGTTGTGTCATTTGGGATGTGTGTGCAAAAATTTTAGGTCATTCGGACGTGGTTTGGTAAACTTTTTGATTAAAAGCGTAATTCGGAAGATTTTGAGAACCTTAGGCTTGAATCCGATGTGTTTTGGTTGATTTGATGTTGTTTGAGGTGTTTTGAAGATTGGTATAAGTTTGGATGGTAGTATAAGACTTGTTGGTGCTTTTGGTTGAGGTCCCGGGGGCCTGGGGGTGATTTCGGGTGGTTGACGGAAGGTTTGGAGTTGAGTTGGGAAGCTGAAGCCATTTTGTTGCTGTCATAACCGCATCTGCGGTTGAAGGATCGCAGGTGCGACCCCGGAGATGCGCAAGACCAGTCGCAGAAGCGGAAAGAGCCTAGGAAGGCAGGAACCGCAGAAGCGGTTGAGGAACCGCACCTACAACGGCGCAGGTGCGGATTGTGCATCGCAGATGCGAATTTTGGCCCATAAGTGAAAACCGCAGATGCGGTGTCTTTGGCCGCAGAAGCGGTACCGCAGATGCGGTGGATGGACCGCAGGTGCGAAAAGCCTGGGTCAGAATGTATATAATTTTTCCTTTGCGATTTTCAGAGGTTTCACCATTTTTAAACACGATTTCTGGAGCTTTTGGGCGATTTTGAAGAGGGAATTCAAGGAGACTTCATTGAGGTAAGGTTTTGGGTCATAAAAACTCGTTTCTATGGTATGATTTCATGGATTAGAGCTGTAATTATGGAAATTAAGGGTTAAATATGGAGGAAACTAGGGCTTGGGAAATAAGGTCTTTGATTAAGGATTTGAAGGACCATTTGTGGTC